AATCCCAAAAATCCCTCAAGCCCCAATTAAACCCTAATTGGGCGAGGATGACATATGTCGAATCTATCTAATTTTTTTGGTCCCTCTTACAATATTTAAAGTTTTGTCTCAATTAAATTATTATTTATTAAATTATAATAAAAAATATCAGAGCCATTTTTTTTTATCACTACTGTATATATAATAAAAAAAGTTCATTATCAAAAAAATATTAAAAATTTAACAATTATTTTTAATTGTTTTTTTTTTGTAATTATAAATGTTTAAGTAAATAATATTTGTTAAATGATAAATGAAAATAAACAAATAAATTATTTATTTTTTCTAACATAATATAATTTTATTCAAAAAATAAATACTTAAATAAGAAAAGAAATTATTGTATTTATTATTAATATAATTTTAAAAATTATTATATTTATTATTAATATAATTTTAAAAATTATTATATTAAAAAACTGCAAAGTAGTAATCTCTTTAAAAACTTTTTTAAAAACAATATTTTAAATCTCTAAAATTTTTAAATCAAATTATAAATAAGAGTTTTTTTAAAAAAATTTTTTTTAATATATATGTATTTTATATACATTTAATATATTTTTTTAAACTTCATTTGACATACAATATATAGCAAACAGGTATTAATAATATAAATATAAATTTACATTTGTGATTATAATAGAATGAATTTATTAAAATTCAGTTTTTAAGTTTTTTAATATAATAAAACGGATTTAAAATTGTGATGCTCAACAAGTGATTAGGTACTTTATGACAAGAAAGTACTGCTCCTGTGATCATGTCATAATCATAGATTTACAGTGGTCATTAAATCCAAATTAGGGTGATTTTATGAAAAATATATAATCATAACTTGTCAAAACTTTATCCAGACATCATTTAAGGATTCTAAGGTTCAAATTACTGTAATAAAATTTAGATCACTAATTAAATTTCATCGTTATGAAGGATCCCCAAGATTCTGATTTTTATTCACAAAGCTTCGGTAAGAAATAGTATATTAAATTTATACGTGCGCAATATATTATGAAGATCTAAAAATAAATAATTATCTCGTGAGAATAACGCAGAAATTTGGTTTTGTCGTAGTTTAAAGAAAATACATGTTTTGTGTTTTCACTTGACAATTATAGATAACAAAATTTAGTCTTACTGTACTTACCGAATTAATTAATAATATTTGTACTATCGTAATAAGAACATATGCCGCAACCGACCAGTGATTTATCTCATCACATTCCCGGTTTATATCTATTAATCGACTCGCGAAAAGATGAAGGGTCAAATGGTCTTGGTATATTCTACTATTTAATTAAATGAATTTAGAAGTATTTAATGGCGCTTTATTAACATTATTCTATTTTAGTTGACAAATTTATCATTTCGAAAGAATCATTAAAGGAATTTTGCAATAAGATGGTCCCATCAAGTTTTAAATCATTCTCGGACGTCAACTATTCGGCGTTGAATTCAGTTTCGGTTAACCTAGTTGGTTGTTACGGAAACCACTCGTTAATTGCGAAACTTTTATATAAGCAACAAATTATCAACAAAAAAATGCAAGTATTTTATTTTACGCTTACAGTAAGATGCCTTGCAAAAGAAAGATACACACGAAACGGCCTATTTAATACAATATTATACTATACCTTAGATATAATTTACTTGAAAATTCACAATCGCCTATAGGAGAATTTTACATGAGTCCTGGAATTTATTTGCTTGTGATTCCTCCACTAAGCTTAGGTTTAGTTATTCATTGGCCCGAACCTGGATGTTATGAAGAAAATATTTCATCTCAAACAAAGAAGAAAACGACAAAATTACACAGGTTATTAGCTTTGTATTTACTGTAATATTTTAAAGATAATGCTAACTACTTATACATCGCACGCGCACAGATATCTTACCAAACTTACGGACCATCAACTCTGTTTAATGAGTGAATCCGACTTGGAATTTTTTATTAGAAATTTGGAGGATGAAGGAGAAGACGAAGATTTTAAAATATTGCCAGGATTTCAGGTTAGTAATTACAAATTAGGAGCACTGTTATTTATAAATTTTTAATATTTGAGTTAATGAACAATAAAGAATTTTATATAAAAAATAAAATTAGATTTATCTGCCACAACGAATGATTTCAGATATTCGTTATGGATATCCTCTGCAACCTACTGGTAGGCTTAAAATAATTCACATAATATTTAAACCTACTTATAAATCTAATCAATAGTTTTTTTTAGTGGTCGAATCTGTAACTAGTCAAACATTAATCACAAAAAAGAAATTTACTTCAACATCACAAATGATTAAAAATACTCTTAATACTGAGAATAGAAAGTTTAAAGAGGATTTTGGTAGAAGACTTAATGGATATGCTTTACGTATCAGCAAAAATATGAGTTTCAAAAGTTTAGAAATGTTGATTAAAAATGGGTTGCCTGAAATGGAAAAGGAGCTACTCGGTCCTTACAGAAAGGGATTAGAAGACGTGAGGACACAAATAGAGCTTAAGAAAGCGCAAGAAAGGGATTCCATAAAAGAAGACGCAGAAATTTTCACTAAACATGTTTGGAAAAAATTAAGACAAGAATACAAGTATGGATCTCAAAATCACGCAAAATATATGCAATGTTTTAAAAAGTTTTTATCTAAACATTTTTTTGATTAAAAAAGTGAACTTGAACTACTAATTAAAGAATCGACTAACAATCTCACTACGCAACAAGTTCATGATGATGAGACTTTGAAACAAAGTAAGTGAATATATTATAACTATGCATTGTTTTTACATAATTTTAATATAATATATTATCCATAAAGGCGTCGAAAACATCAAATTAAAATATCCTGCTAAATGTGATCAAATTGAGGACGCTTTGAAGATAAATTCGAAAGAATGGAAAAAATTAAAAAAACGATACATGTTCGTAAACATTTTTATACAAGATATATTCAGTGAAAATATCAGTATGGGTAAAGATGGAGACGCACAGTCAAATGATGTTAGGCAATCAATGTGTCAGGCAGTATTTGATATGTTCATGGACAAAGAATTGGATTACCACAAACTCATAAAAAAGTATTATTTTAGGGGGCCAGATCAAAGTTTGCTGTCGTTTATTTTTGCGATAGTAAATAACATAACTCGAAATTATGACTCCAAAGTCAATCTCGCGGTGAACCATGCGGAGGCATTAGTTAACACAACACCCGACAAAAAATTTATTAATGAAATTACTTCAATGGAATTCGAATCTCTTTTCAAACAAAAACATGAAATAATTGATGTTTTTCTAAAGGAATATGAAAGATGGAAGAAAGCGACGTTTCCAGGAAATATTAAGGAGATTGTTCCTAAATACGATAGGTATTATATGAAAGAAGTTAATGAAAAATTTAATTCGGAATATTTACGTTATAAAAAAAAAATTGAAGAGGAAGAATTTAATAGAATCTGCAAAGAAATAGAAAATAAGTTCCCTAAAGGGTAAGTTGCTTGTTAATATGCGTTATATAATATTTACGTATTATATATATATAACCCTTTATTTTACACTAGGCCTATCCTAAGGATATTAAATTTATATGGTAAATCTTATACAGTACATACACTGACGCATTTCATATAACATGTTATCTAAAAACGATTATTTCCTATTTTCTATAGAGAACGATATTTATAATATAAAGGATTTCATAAAATATTATGTCTCTTACGAAATCGAAATCATCCAGCCCGATCAACTCAAAGTTACAATTCACCAAACATCAATTGATGACGAAGATAATTTTCGACTTTCTGAAGATGAATTTCATATCCCCGCACCAAAGTTCAATAATCAGTATAGCGGTGATATTGGAAGTTCTTTCCAAATAAATCCAGAAACCCACGAAATTAGGTAAAACTATGTGAAAAAAATTGGTTATTTCGACTTTCGAATTTATCAGATATCTTCTTCTCTATATAGGAATATTTCGCAATTTGAAAACAAATTTTTTCTCGCACTATGGAATAATAAAGAAAATCGACTGGAGATGTATTTTGACACTGCATCCCGGCTATCATCATCTATTCAATCTAATCCATTCAAAATATTATATCCAAATAAAAGCACCCTTATTTCCGTAAATGAGCCTAAGGGTTTAATTGGATTTTATGATATCAGTTCTGTAGTTGTAAGTAATCTTTGTACAATTAATTAGAATCTTTGCGTTGATGTAAAATTTTATTTGCTAATAACTACCTTTAATTTAGTTGAATGTTTACGCATTTGATGAGAAGTTTTATACTATTATTCCACGGGCCACCAATGTTCAGTTAAATCTGTGGTATAATCATATGGTACCGGAAATTCAACACTTTTTCTTTATTAAAGATACTGAAGATATATGTTTCATTGAGAAGAATGGTCGCTCCAGAATTTATATGATAGCTTTAAATCTATTTCGACCTGGCTCGTCGCAATTACCACCAGAATCATCAAAAGTTCTAAGTACACCAGATGGAGCATGTATTGTGGCTTTCACAAAAGATACCGTGTTAGAACAGGAAAACGAAAACAACGATGCTGATAGTAACACCGAAAAAGCAGACGGTTATAATCCAGAAAATCAAATAGAAATTATTAAAGCACACGTATTTTTTTGTGCAAATTTTGGTAGCCCTGCTAGTAAAGGCATGTGATATTTACATTAATTATATTATATATGGTTATTACGACTAATTACAGTACTGTAATTGTTTGTTACTATAGTTATACTTATGCCAAAAAATATGCAATTCGTTGAACATTTTCAATTCTCTTATATCAAGAAACAACAGATACATCTTACTACCCTCGATGTAGTTAATGGACAGTTTTGTTCGTTGATTACTAAAATTACACTTGAAAAATCAATGGAAAAAGTAAGGATTTTGTCGTCCGACTACCAAAATGACAGCTATTCTTTTTTAGAAGGAATGGATACTCGATTTTCTAAGAACGTTTTGGTTGGAGAAAGTATTGTCGTTCAAAATGAAAAAAGATGTATTCTTGAAATACAATCAAACACGAGATTGAAGATTGCAGGAACTTTTTCAAATATTGCTGACCTAGATTCTTGGATGGATTTTCGAATTGAACCCAAAACAAATATTAATAGCTTTATCAACGTGTATCAATACATGTTTGAAAAATACCCAATTGATAGCTGTATAGATACCGAACAAAATAAGTCTTTGAGCTTGACTATAACCCTGGATTTGTCTAGTCGCAATGTTGAAGATTACGAAGAAAGATTCAGAGATTATTTCGAAGAATTAAAACGTTCCACAAAAAAACCAGCAAGCAGCCTAAAAAAATTCAAGATCGGTAATCGAAAGCTAACATTAATTAAAACAGTTTTTGGAGCAGCTTTTAATATAAAAATATTTACTTTAGACGTAATGACCTTTTCCGAGCTTAATATCGATGACCCTGACTTTCAAGAAAACAAGTCATCAAGATTTTATCTTGGAGAATGGATAATTCAACTTTCTTGCTTAATTCCAATTCAAATCGCGGTTGCCCGAAACAATGTGTTCCAACCACTACAAGATGGATTAACATTAAATGAAAATGGTCTAGATGACATTGAAAATAACGGTCTTCACCTAAATAATATTGCACAAAATATTTCTTTCGGGTGGTATGAAGGAATCTTTAAACATTATTGTGACCGCCAGGTTAAAGTGGTTTCTAGCATGGGCGAGCAATCATGTGGAAAATCTTACATGGTAGGATATAGTATACAGTACACAATACGTAGCATCAAATCGATAGATCTTTCCTTTACTAATTCATCTTTGAAAGTTAAATCACCTGGTGGGAACTACATTTGATGGATTCACAACGGTTGGTGTAAATCTATATAATACAGTATTTATATCTCTCTGGTTTCACTTTATCGATTATTTTTTTTGAACTAGAGATGCACTGAAGGTGTCTGGATGTCATTGGGTAAGTATTTAGATATTCATATAAACGAGACAAAATTACTATATTTATCTAATAAACTTGATTAGCTATTACGGCACGGTGTATATACGTAGCCTTATATTTTGAAGGCCTGATGTCCTTCAAAAGAACTCCACATGAAGGTAAACAATATAGAACCTAACGTATTGTAATATAATATTGAATATTGATCTTTTGATCTTTAGACATGATATTGACTCTATTCAACGCTGTAACATCTAATATCGTTCTTTTTAACGTAAACCATATTCATGTTAAACTTTTTTGTTAAAAAATTTTTTATATAATACTCATTTAATATATAACCATAACATTATATAAATTTTTTAAAAATAAGACCCAATTTGCGGTTAATTGTGATATGTCAACGATGTTTCAAAGATTCCAGTATGGTGCCGATCTATTGAACGACCCAAATCTATTTAAGGTATTACATATTCAGTAATGGAAATTACAACTAATAGATACCGTATGCTAATGAAGGTTCATTTATTACATAGGCAAAACTATGCGTCATAATCAAAGACGTTCCTAAACAAGACAGAGAAGATATTGTTCGAGAATTTTCATTAAGACTTAAGTCCATGATCGCTAAGGTATTTGCGTTATATTTGTTCTATGGATATTGAGAAATATCATTAAAATTTTCTTTATAATTTAAGGAAGGAAAGGGCAATTTTATAAATCAAATGTATCCAAGTGGCCTTATAATATATCCTTACCCGATTTTTCATGAAAAAGGAATGTATTACATTTAGTCTTACGTTTATTATTTATTGTTTTTTTTTTCAATATTAACATATTTTTCCTTTTTCTAGAGTTTGCATCTTTGAGATTTTTTTCATTCATTAATCCCTCGTCTATTTGTTAACGCATACCATTTTCTTATTCATCTCCTTTTTTAATAATTTCCCCTTTTTTTGGTGAATTAAATTATGACTTTGTCATAGTTGGTATGTATTTATACTTATTTTTAAAGCAATACAAAAACAGTACAAATAATATACAATTGCTATTCCATAGGTTTACAAGCCTAAAAGAACTTAAAAGGATGCTAGAGAAACAAGAAGCAAAATACACAAATGCACGAACCTTTTTACAGAATACGAAAATTATTATGGCAAAAATTAAGGTAAAAGCATATAATCATTTTCTGATATGGAAATACTCATTAAATAAATTTTTAATTTGGTGCGTAATTTATTAGACATGCGATTGGGGTTCTTTGGATGACAATTTGGTCCAAATTCGCGTGTCTACATTAAAGAAATTGCTTCAAACGGCTATATCCATCGGTGTAGAAGAAAAGAACACAACAATCGTGAACTTGATGGTTGGTGTTACATTATTTCAATGAAAAAAATGACGATTGATTCTTAATTTAAATATACTGTATTTTATGTACGTACACAGAATCATGATACAGGAACAAAAATAGATGATCCTGTGATCGAGTTGCCTGAAATATTGAAAGATTTCGGTAATTCTAGAGAAATTCTTTCGGACGAGGACATATTGCTTTTCGAAGAAAACACCGATTTTGTACGTTTATCGGCTGATTTAAGAACGTATTTTGAACAAAACATTCGGCAAAGAAAAGATTGTTCCGATGACACTAAATGGTTTAAGGGACTAGATCAATTTTTCAAATATATTATTTATCGAAGAACCGCAAGAGTAAGAGAATGGTTTGAACAAAACACCTGTGAATTTCCGCAAGGTTATAGGGATATTCAAATCAGACGTTATGACATGGAGAAAGAAATAGGCAAGATTACTATCCTTTGGACTTTGTGTGGAATGAATTGCACCCATTGTGGACTCCAATGTATAAAAAACTGCGGCCATGAGAAAGAACACGATTGCTTAACGGATCATAAATGTCACTTTCCATGTCAATTTCTGGAAGCACATACGAATAAAGGACTCATTCCTCAGTGTACACACGAAGCTGGTCATGATGGAAAGCATGCATGTGACAATGCCGGTGATCATGTATGCGGCAAACCTTGCAGCTTAGAGGATAAGCGTAACTGTCAAAAAGTCTGCGCAAAAGAAATAGGTCACGAGGATAGCGAACATATTTGTCAATCAAAACGTACGTAAATTAAATAAATTACCTGTGATATTAACTATTTATCTTACTGCAATACTGTGTTGCATGCGCCTGTGCGTTTTTCAGGTCATTACTGTGGTAAACCTTGTTCTTTATCAACATGCACACAAAAAGGAAATTATCAGTGCCCTAACAAATGCATTACTGCCAGTGAGGAAGAGCATGATGTTCACCGTAAGGATGTTATTGATCACTAAATTATTGAATGTAATACATTCTGTATACTGTATATTAAATACATATTGATATATTGACAGGCTGTGAAAATGAAACATGCCCCATTCAATGTCCTATATCAGGGTAAGAAATAACTAGACATCCTTTGAGATTTGGCTAATGATTAAATTTAAAATTTGTTTAACTTTAGATGCCAAAGGAGATGTCAAAGCAATGATCATTTTCATGCATACTCTGAAATTTATGTTATCGGTCATTTTTGTGGGTCAGTATTATACATTAATGATTGCTCAATAAATATTTATTGTTGTATACATGATTACCATTTTTTGGATCTTCAATAAATTATAGTCAAGAGCATCAGTGCCCAGAATATTGCGAGGAACCCGGAATATGTAGAGTTTTGACTGAGTCTCAAAGGCAAGAAGAGACATATCAAGGAAAAATTAGCAAAACAGTGATTACATTTACTAAGGTAAAAAAGGCCTTTTGTTATTACTATGCCTATAAATATTTTCTAATTGCTTTAATTTATTATCAGTATATTCAACTTAGCGAAAGGTTAAGGTGCTATAAAAAGATCCCACCTAATAAGTTTAAGCATGAAGGAAGGCATTCTCATTCTCAGGATATCAATAGTTTTCATTTCTGTGATGCCAAGTGCCAATATTGCGAATATTATGTAGGCCTTTGTTAATCGTTAGCATTCCAGAGTTAAATGAATTAATATAAAACTAATTTGTTATATTATATTCAAGTGTATTTTGCCTTACGGACATACACAATCATTGCATGAAACAAAGCATGGAAATATGACTCAAACGGAATTTACAACTGGAGATCAAAACTTTGAGTATGCAGACTGTATTTTAACTCATTGTATGACGGTTTATATTATATAATATGGATGGTACAATACTATATACTGTACTGTGTTTTACATTTATCAATTTAAGTCACAAGTTAAAAATAGGTGATCATGGAACATTTGTTCTATGCAATTTGGTATGTCTATATATATATATATATCATTGTTATTTTATTTTTTTCGCTCAGTTTATTTGTATATACATGCTGGTGTTAAACTATTAATAGTACTGTAAGGAAAAAGGGCGCCATCGACATATCGATTACTGTAAAAACGAAGAAACTTGTAAGCTAAATACCAACTGCATGGACATTCAACATATTAACGGTATTTTTGCTATTAAACTCCGTCTTATCAAATAAGATTATTTTCTCAATTTACTTATACTGTATATTATTTTCTAGCCCCAGTTAATCCAAATCCTCATCAGGCGAAAGACTTTATCTCACATCGTCTCTTCTGGGAACGCACAGGATTTAAAGGTTACCTGTAATATGTATTATATTGTATTGGTTAAACAAATCCCCCTTTTTTATTTTGCTAAAAAGAATATTTTATTTTAGACCCGTACTCAATTCAGGATCAACAAGATTTTGCGAAATGTGATCACGAATGTCAAGATGAAATTCATCATAATTCAAGTGATGCTTTTAATGCACAATATAATAAATCATATTGTGAATTACTTCTTTTCCATCCAAGTCTAAATCCCTCACAGCCACCACCCAATGGAATTGGTTATATTTCACTTGATGGTCACTACTTTAACTGTGATAATCCAAGTAATGGGGAGGCTGCATTTCACTTTATATTTACGTTAGATAGATCTAGCTCTATGTCATCAAGCGACAAAAAACCATTACCAGACACTCCCTGTTATGATAAACTAAAGCAACATAATAATAGGATTGGTGCAGTTTACAGCGCGGTAAATATAGAATTTTGACTTTAAAAAAAAGCAAAAATTCGGTTAAAAAAGTTTTTTTAATTTGCTTTTAAAGATTTATGCATTTATGAAAGCTCGGTTAGCCTGTCAAAGTGGCCAACCTCAAAGACAAGCTGCGAATAAAGACACTATATCATTGATACTTTTTGACCATGAAGTTATCGTACCATTCGAAAATCACGTTCTCACAGATGCTGATGTCTTGCTAAATCATATGATTAAACATAGGGCTCGAGGAGGAAGGGATTTTAACCTTGCCATACAAAAAGCAGGATTTTTAATCAACCAATATTATGATGCAAACAAGTAACTGTTACAGTTTATTATTAGTGGATTTTCCAAAATAATTTAATACGTTAAATCCTTATTTTTTTTAGAAAAAGTATCATTATTTTTCTCTCTGATGGGGATGCTAGTGTACCACACGATCAACTTCGACTAATATGCGAATACAACAAAAAAAGAGGGTGTGTACAGTACTATTCATGAACTAGGTCAAATGCAATTATGTGTAACAAGTACGTTAACGTTAAATGTTTTTTTGTACAGAAATCCTTTATTTTTGTATACAGTACTACTTGCTAATCAATCGGAGAGTAGTTCTTTGAGAGAAATGGCTGAAATTGCGCAAAAATATCAACCGCCTAATAGTTCTGCGAGCTCTCTTAGATGTCAATATAATAATGTGATGACTGAGATAAATTTAGTAACTACTTTCACGGGCGTCGCTGAAAGTATTTGAAAGCACAAATCATCTTTAGTGAAAAGATCTACTAATTAGCAGTTGTAAGTGTTAGCAAACCAACAAAAGGTATTTAAACGATTATAAATTACTAACACGAAACATGGTTTATAAAGTTCTGACAAATTTTAGTAGACCGCATCAGGCGGGTCATGCAGAATTAAGCCGACTTTTATGAAAAAAATATATTAACGTGGTAAAATTTATTGTTTATGTAAAACAACGATCTTGTTGAATATCCATTTCTTTATTACTTGGTCTGGCATTTAAATTAATAATAAAGAATTTTAGCAAATGCTGAATTTTTTCATGTTACAATAATGACCTCTTACAATCAGATTTTTGTTACATTGTACAGTAGTCAATCCTTATAAATCCGAACTTTAATCTTGCTTAATTACAGTATATTGGATCAAGGTTAGTGGTTTTATAAACACAATGATCCTGACTGGATTTGGTTAACGTGTTTATATTTATAAGTTGATATGTTATCTTTTTGCAGTTTTTTATTTAACTTAATTACTATTTGTATAGAAGTTGAATTATAAAGCTTATTCTTATAAAAATCTTTTCATAAAGTCTTGGATAATAAAAAATTTAGTATCTCAAATAATACGTTACCGGTTTTCTTTTATCTAATAAAGCAGATTTTTGTTTAATTTTATTATATAATTTTTTGTTACTTATAAATTGTTTATTTAAATATTATTTTAAATAAATAGTTATTGAAATATAGTTAATAATAGAACTAATTGAAAGTTATAGTAAATAAACATTTCAATGTCTTTTTTTATTGTCAAATGATTTTAATTTTTTGTAAAATTAACTATCACAGCATCTCAATTAATTATAATTTCTTTTTTAATTTAAAATAACCAAATTATTAATTGATTTTAATTAGTTGAAACAATTTTTAATACAACTATTAAAGTTTCAATAATTCATATTATTTTTGCAAGGCATATAGAATTTTCTTTTTAGATAGTGTAAAAAAGTAAAAAAAAAATAATATAATAACGAAGATGATATGATCCCATTATAGCATAATTGGATCTGTTGAAATGTGAAAATATACTGTACACTCCTGGAAAAAGTATTGCATACTATTTATTTATTAATTAAACAAAATTTTACATAATAACATTAATATTATATTTTTTCTTTATATTTTAATTGTTTATATTATTAAAAGTAGCTATTGTAAGAGGGGTCAGAAAAATAAGCAGATTCAATATATGTTATTCTTACTCAATTAGAGTTTAATTGGAACTTGAAAGATTTTTGGAATTTTTAGAATTTTGGAAATTTTTCTAACATATATAAAAGAGGGGAAATTTATTAAAACTGGAAGAATAATAAATTGTCTTTTCAAAATATAAACTTAGGTTATTATTTAACACTCTCACTTATCTTGTGCCACATCTTTACACTTCTATTTGACATTACACAATCAACAATTGCAATGTAATAACAAACTTAACATTATAATCTTTACACTATATTATTAAAAAATTATTATTATTTTATTATATAATTTTTTTATAAATTATTATTATTATTATATAATTTTTTTATAAATTATTATTATTATTATATAATTTTCATTATTAACAAGGATCTAATTTCTGGTAACAATTAATTATATATATTATAATTTACTTTATTACAGTTGCCTATATTTAGAATTTAAAACTGATATTTAAATAATATTAACTTGTAATAAATTTAATATGGTTGTAACTCACTATATTAAACTTATAATTAATTCAATATTAATTCGATATCAAAATTATGCTATTAGAAACCATATTATATTACATATCACATATAAAAATTTATTTAAGCATATAAATTATAAATTTTATCTAAAAATATTTATTATTAATAAACTTTTAAATTATTTATATTTTATTTTCCATTTGTAATTAATTTTATAACTTATAAAGCAGATTATTTTGATCAGATTTGATTTTTACCAATATATTTTTTATTTGCAAAATTATTATTATTTTTTTTGAACGTAAAAGGACATTAGATGCAAGTCTTTATTAAATTGTATATATAATACATGAGTTACATCAAACATCTTCACATAATAACTCTATGAATTAATGTTAACCTATCTATGATGCTAACTAAAGTGATCCTCCTTACACTTAATGTAGATTGAATTGGTGTTAGTGCTGGATGGTTAATGCCCTTCCAGAATTAAAGTAAGGTCTTGAGACTTTAGTATATTTGTTTAAACGATTTGTTGTGAATTGAAATATACAATGATTTTGTTCAATAAATCTGGTTGTGCTTCAGATAATTCTTTTGATT